TTTAAAAATAATTTTAAACATGTTAAAGGTTTTTCGGAAATGAAGGGTATAAGATAAAGTTCAGGCAAAGAATATCTATATCGAGTGTAGCTATGAATCCGGGTAATCTCAAGTGAAAAATTGGAAGTATCCACTTAAAGAATTTATCGGAAATACAATCAGTTCTTATACAGCGAAACACAAACGTCGCTTTTGGATTGGTAAAAGAAATTACTTGTGTTCAACAAAAATTATTNGAAATAATAATTCTTAAACCTAAGTCCTTATGTATAATATATTTTTACTACACTAATACATACAAATAAATGTTATATTATATGAATAAATAATATATGTTTTAAAAGTACTATAATTTTACTCTTTAATAGGTTTCAATCAGGCAATTATTTTTGGAAATTAAAAAAACGGATTTTAATTTGGAGAGTCATGATTAAAATTTGAAAAATATATTTAAAATAATGAGATTCTTAATTTAGAATTATAGGAACTTATTTAACTTAATACACTTAAATTAACCTAATGTAGACTTATATTACTTAACTACATTAAAAGACGACGCGATTCAAATTTTCTTTGAAATCCTTACGTCGTCTGTTTAATATCTACGATTAAATTAGTTAGTATCTGCGGATCTGTAATTTCAACATCCTACCGTTGCAGTAGGTGTTAATCTTTTAAAATGAAATAAAAAACAGAACAGAAATAATAATTTTTAAACCTAAATCCTTATGTATAAAATATTTTTACCACACTAATACATACAAATAAATGTTATATTTTTTGGATAAATATTAAATGTTTTAAAAGTACTACAATTTTACTCTTTAATAGGTTTCAATCGGACAATTTATTNGTTATCTGTTTAATGTCTAAGATTACATTAGTTAGTATCTGCGGATCTGTAATTTCAACATCCTACCGTTGCAGTAGGTGTTAATCTTTGAAAATGAAATAATAATCAAAACAGAAATAATAATTCTTAAACCTAAGTCCTTAAGTATAATATATTTTTACCACACTAATACATACAAATAAATGTTATATTATATGAATAAATAATATATGTTTTAAAAGTACTATAATTTTACTCTTTAATAGGTTTCAATCAGGCAATTATTTTTGGAAATTAAAAAAACGGATTTTAATTTGGAGAGTCATGATTAAAATTCGAAAAATATATTTAAAATAATGAGATTCTTAATTTAGAANTATTTTTACCTTATTAATACATACAAATAAATGTTATATTTTTTGGATAAATATTAAATGTTTTAAAAGTACTACAATTTTACTCTTTAATAGGTTTCAATCGGACAATTTATTTTGAAAAATAAATAAACACATTACAATTTGGAAAGTCATGATTAAAATTTGAAAAACATAGGTAAAATAAAGAGATTCTTAATTTAGAATTATAGGCACTTATTTAACTTAATACACTTAAATTAACCTAATGTAGACTTATATTACTTAACTACATTAAAAGACGACGTAATTCAAATTTTCTTTGAAATCCTTACGTCGTCTGTTTAATATCTACGATTAAATTATTTAGATTAGATTCGTCAGTTTTAGCGGATTGAAGATTAGAACAACCTACCATTACAGTAGGTGTTAATCATCGAAAATGAAATGAAAAAAACAAAACGGAAATAATAATTCTTAAACCTAAGTCCTTATTTATAATATATTTTTACCACACTAATACATGCAAATAAATGTTATATTATATGTATAAATATTAAATGTTTTAAAAGTACTATAACTTTACTCTTTAATAGGTTTCAATCGGGCAATTATTTTTGGAAATTAAAAAAACGGATTTTAATTTGGAGGATCATGATTAAGAGTTTTTTTATATTTTCCACTTACAAAAAAAAGAAGTCAACAGAGTATGATTTGTTTAAAAATAATTTTAAACATGTTAAAGGTTTTTCGGAAATGAAGGGTATAAGATAAAGTTCAGGCAAAGAATATCTATATCGAGTGTAGCTATGAATCCGGGTAATCTCAAGTGAAAAATTGGAAGTATCCACTTAAAGAATTTATCGGAAATACAATCAGTTCTTATACAGCGAAACACAAACGTCGCTTTTGGATTGGTAAAAGAAATTACTTGTGTTCAACAAAAATTTTTTCGTGTATAGAGTTCTGGTTAATAAAATGGGGATAAACAATGAACAAACAACCTAATGGGTGTCAATAAAGAAAATTAATAAACAATCGAGTGTATACATGTTGCAGGTATGCTGTCTAATTGAATTTTTCAATGGTAATATTTAATTGCGTAGGTAAATTTGTAATTATCTGTTAAGGTACTAACAATCTTTTCTTTGTTGGCGATCTTGTCGTTGAGGAGAGTATTTTTTTTTTATCCTTAAACTTACCATATTAACAAAAATACAATAAATTCTTAATTTAAAACTATAAGAACTTATTTAACTTAATACACTTAAAGTAACCTAATGTAAACTTGTATTACTTAACTAAATTAAAAGACAACGGGGTTCAAATTTTCTTTGAAATCATTACGTTATCTGTTTAATGTCTAAGATTACATTAGTTAGTATCTGCGGATCTGTAATTTCAACATCCTACCGTTGCAGTAGGTGTTAATCTTTGAAAATGAAATAATAAACAAAACAGAAATAATAATTCTTAAACCTAAGTCCTTAAGTATAATATATTTTTACCACACTAATACATACAAATAAATGTTATATTATATGAATAAATAATATATGTTTTAAAAGTACTATAATTTTACTCTTTAATAGGTTTCAATCAGGCAATTATTTTTGGAAATTAAAAAAACGGATTTTAATTTGGAGAGTCATGATTAAAATTCGAAAAATATATTTAAAATAATGAGATTCTTAATTTAGAATTATAGGAACTTATTTAACTTAATACACTTAAATTAACCTAATGTAGACTTATATTACTTAACTACATTAAAAGACGACGCGATTCAAATTTTCTTTGAAATNTAATTTTACTCTTTAATAGGTTTCAATCAGGCAATTATTTTTGGAAATTAAAAAAACGGATTTTAATTTGGAGAGTCATGATTAAAATTTGAAATATATATTTAAAATAATGAGATTCTTAATTTAGAATTATAGGCACTTATTTAACTTAATACACTTAAATTAACCTAATGTAGACCTTTATTACTTAACTACATTAAAAGACGACGTGATTCAAACTTTCTTTGAAATCCTTACGTCGTCTGTTTAATATCTACGATTAAATTAGTTAGTATCTGCGGATCTGTAATTTCAACATCCTACCGTTGCAGTAGGTGTTAATCTTTGAAAATGAAATAATAAACAAAACGGAAATAATAATTCTTAAACCTAAGTCCTTATGTATAATATATTTTTACTACACTAATACATACAAATAAATGTTATATTATTTGGATAAATATTAAATGTTTTAAAAGTACTATAATTTTACTCTATAATAGGTTTCAATTAGACCATTTGTATTGAAAAAAAAAAAAATAATTTTAATTTGGAGAATCATGATTAAAAGTTTTTTTATATTTTCTACTTACAGTAAAAGAGGAATCTACGCATTTTAATTTATTTAGAAATATAATTTAATTTATCGGAAATACAAGCAATTCTTATACAGCGAAACACGAGCGTTGCTTTGGAATCATTAAAAGAATACTCAATTTTAGTAAAACTAGAACGATATCTTGTTTTTAAAATATTGGTACTTAAGTTACTTTATACACTTTATATAAACCTATATTAATTAACTACATTAAAAGACGAGGTATTTTAAATTTTCTTTGAAATCCTGATGTCGTCTGTTTAATATCTACGTGTAAATTATTTTTTATTTTCGGATTGGAGATTGGAACAACCTTTTATTGCAGTAGATGTTAATCTTTAAAAATAGAAGTTAACGAAAAAAATAGGAAATAATATAATCTTAAACTTAATTACTTATGTTTAATATATTTTGACTCTAATAATACTTGGAAATAACTATTTTATTTTTAGTTTGAAAAAAAAAAAATTTTAACCGTGGTACAATTTCACTCTTTAGTGGGTTCTAAGCAGTACATTTGTTGTGAAATAAAATAAACGTTATTTGTTTTATAGATAATGAGCGAGTTCTGAGATTAAATTTTGTGTTACTTTTGTCTATTTACAATCAATTATGAGTCTATGCAGTATAATTTGTTTTAAAAATAATTTGATCGTTTTTTTTTGAAATAAAGAGTAAGTTAAAATGTTTAAACTTTATATCTATGTCATATGCAGCATCGAATCTAGGTAAACTTAAGTTGAATAGTGAAAAGAACCACTACAAGAAAAAAACAGAAATACGGAGAAAAGACATTTTATATTGTATTAAAAATGGAATTTATAAAACCTGTGATTGTATATTTATCGCAGATATGTTCCCTAAATAATATTGAACTGATTATATTAAATTCTATATTTTAAGATTTTTTTTTTACTTGAAGCCAATGAATATACTTTTTATGGTCAGCGATCCATTTGAATATAAGAGAAATATTACCTTAATTTAAAATATAGGTACTTAGTTCACTCTACACACTTATTGTTAATTATGAATCAGTTATATCAATTAACTACATTAAAAGTCGACGTGGTCTAAATTTGCTTTGAAATTTTTATGTTTAATATTCTTAATTTGTCAAATCATCATTTATTGGTAATATTTAAAATTTTAAAACTATAATGTTACTACAGGTTGGTTTATAATGTTATTTTTGTATCTTTTATTGAAATAATAACTAATTTTTTATTTTAACTGTTTTTTAATATTTAAGATTATTTAAGTCTAGCTAAATTTTTAAACGGCCTTGGAGAAAAAAATCAAGCGGGTGGGGGGGCGAAATAAATAACATTTAAAGAATAATAATTTAGGGCTTCAAAAAACGACAAAATATGGGTTACCGGCCTTACCTATACTATAAACATGTTCGTTTTTCGTTATAGATTATTTTCATTTTATTTGAGTGAATAATGTTGATAGGAGCCATCTGGTGATACTGTTGCTGATGGATGATCTTCGATCTGAACTGTGGGAGTTATATTTGGTGCAGCGCTTGTATAGTATGGATAACCAGAGTGTGACCCGGCCACGTACTAAAACATGATTAATACTCACTTAAAAATTTAAAATAAAACCGCTATTTTATGGATACCAAAGTCTAGTGCCTACATTTTTAATGGATTCATATCACTTTTTTTGCATTGTTTAACTGATTACCAATAAATAAATTTAACTATATATTATTCTATTGCTATTCATTACTGTTGGAGTATTTACTTAGTATCTATTATGTGCATACAATTAGGTACCACCAAACAATAGAATGTTTTTATTATACAAAAGACTTACCGATCCGTTTCCAATCTGTAAATCAGACACACGGGTAGCGAGCTGTGGTATAACCGAACCATATTGAACTGCACCAGGATTTACTTGTTCAATCATCTGACAACATACAGGAATCATAGAAAAAAAAAACCATTAATAAATATTAATAATATCAGTGAGCTTTAGCTTTAGCTTTAATCAAATTTTTTAAAATTAAAACACTCAAAAGCCTCTGTAAATTAGCAATAGACAAAAATCAATTCAATAACACAATTTATTAAAACTACTGTGCACGCTATATTTATTACAAAACGCTGGTACTGATATTATATATATTTTGTCGATTGTTTATATAGAAAATAATATTTTATGAATTTAAATATGCTATGTCGTTTTATCATTCTAAAGTATTTGTTTTCGATTTAAAAGTTAGGTAAGTAAAATTTAATTAGTTAAGTATTTAATTATTACATCAATTTGAGCTGGATGCGGTGACGCAGGTTGCATCATATATTGCGGCACCCAGGCCGTTGCCGGAATCCAGTAACAGTGTGCAGGCATCGCTTGTGTAGTGTGATTGCGGCCAAAATACTGTGCCAACGTGCCGGGTGTAACGTGAGTACCACCCGCACCGATCATGGCGCCGTGAATCATAGCATATCCGATGGTTGAGCCCTGCAACATATAGTGCTGTACCGGAAAACGTACATATCCGCCGTTCTATCACACAACAAGTTTACACAAAATTAATTTTTTTATCACACGATATAGGTAAGGCAGGTCAACTAATATGATTAATAAAGCTAATAATATTAATAAATATGTTCGCAATGCGAACATATTCTCATCAAAATTCTGTCTTAATGACAGAATATCACGTCAACACAATACAGAGAACTAAAAACAACTGAGGTGGTAACACTCAGCTTGCAATAGTATTGACAAAAATAATAGCTACTGGATAAAGTACGGCGCACGGGTCATCGCGCAAGGATTTTTCCGGACTAGTCGCGGCGCACAGGTCACGGCGCAGGGGTCATGGTACATCGATCGTTCTGCACACTGGCCACATTTTAAGGTAGACGGGGGATGGTAAACTCCTACAAAATATAGTGTTAACTCCTACACTAGATTGTTGGGAACTTGTAAATAAGGTATTTTAAATTGAGTAAAAATCAGTCATAAACTACAAAATTCAAAAGCAAAATATTATAATATAAATTTTTCTAGTTATTTTAATAAATAAAATACGGTCATAAACTACAAAAATAAGAGATGGAGATTGTTGTATTTCCAATTAACGGAAATAACGTAGACATCATCGAAATGTACGAGAATTTCCGATACGATACCATATATTAATATAATATTTATATATTAATATTTACTAAATTGTAATGCACATTTTATTATCCTACATTCGTAAGTCTCTATGAATATTTATCCAAAATTCAACAAAAAAAAGTATTTTATCGTTTTTTAAACGATTATCGTTAATCGTTATAAGAAAACTATTTCTGATATAAAACTTCGTGCGTGTTAATTTAAAATAATGAAATCGTAAAATCGAACTTTGTTTCCCACTTAAATGCTATCAACTCAAAAAAACATCATTGTAAAACCAATAAACATTCCTCGCCAGATTACACCATCTATTTTTGGCAAGTAAAAAGGAACTATTTAGAAGTTTACACAATGTTTTGAATACAAGTAAAAAGGTCATTTTTGTAGGAGTTTACATGTAGCCAAGGTAGGCACCTATTTATGTGGAACTAAATACTATGAACGATAATATGGTTCGTCTAGACTCTAAAAATCCAAACAAAATATCAAGCCCCCCCCTCTTTCAAGATTATGGTTGCGTTGTTTCAATAATACCTACTTAAACACTTATAATATTAATTATTACTTACATACTAGGCGCGCATTCATCAATAACTTACTGTATAATCTTCCTAGTGCCAAGTACCAATTTGTAATCGTTAAGGTAATACAAATAAAATCATAATAGTAATGTTTCCTTTTAATTTACAAAATGTATTATTAAAAATTGGCTAACATTTTAATAAACTATTATTATTAACTATTATCTTCTTTACATCATGATATATTTACAAAATAAAATTAATTTTCAATGTGTAAAATTGTTTAATTGTTAATTATTAATGGCCATTGTCATAAATATTAATTAATCTTTCTATAGAAATTGATAGGTATTATCATTTTTTTTGTTTAATTGATAATTGTAATTAAGGCCTAATAATAAATAATAAAATGTCTAAAATTAAAAATACTTGATGATAAAAATGTTTAATAAAAAACTAACAACTCTGTGTAATTGTTAATAGTTTATATGTACATTTAATATTCAAATGAACATAATATTAATGGCAAAGAATAAAATAAAATAAAACTAGATGTTGAAAAAAAACTTCAGTATTGATGGTATTTTTTAATGATTCTAAATAACAATCATATAGAGAATTTCAATTTATAGTATGTAATAATTTTTTTTCTTTTCAGTTATATATATAAATAGATAGTTTTAAAAAATATGAAGTCTCTCTTAGATTCTGAGAACAATATTTGTTTAACATCTATATTATATATTAATATAAGAAAAAACAAATTTTACCTCAGATTTCCTCCACAAACGAGCCACTGGTTTAGGTTTTGTTTTATTCTTTTGGTCACTGTTGGCAAATGTATCTAGGAATAGTTCTTCATCCCAACAATGAATTTCTGACAATAATCCTTGGAGTAAATTTTTCCTTGGAGTACATTCTGAAAATAAATTCAATAGTGTGATTTGTAAAAGGAAAACAACAAAGTGTATATTTTACGGACATAATATTACATAGCAAATCTTACATCTTTGCTGACCATATTTATATTGCTTTGAATCCAGGTAGATACATTTGTCTGAACGAAATCGACAGAAGGCACAGGCAGACAACGGCGAACTGCCGCGATGTGCAAGTACCCGAACTGAAACAAAGGAAGTTATTGATCATAAATATTCCAGTAACAACCCTCCCCCATCCTCCTCTGAGAAATGAAACTCACCCGGGTGCGCTACATATAAATGGCTACGAGATTCCAGTGTGCACAACAGCAACCTTGCGCGCTACCACTGCACAGATGGAACGTCACAGACCACAGTGCCAACACCCTTTTATTAAAAAATCAACAAAAAGAATTGCAATGGTGATTTAATAATAATTGTCTGGATAAATTGATTCCACGTCTGGAAATGGATTTATTTAATCTTTTCACAGAAATCTCGATATCCAAAATAAAATCATTTTCTAATCAAATTTAAAAATAAAAGTTTATGGTATTTATTTGAATTTAAGATTAAACTATGATACTTATCTCGGCTTTTTTGAATATTAGTTTGATTTCTTCATCAATAATTTTCCTTGAAGCTTCAATTATTAATATATTACACTCAGCCATTTTTACAGCTTCTTTAAGATCTATATCAATTTTTTGCAAACATTTACAAAATAGTAGACTATAAGAAAATATCACTTAGTAATTATCGTATTCATAATTAATGTTAAATTGTCAAATAATGCAAATGCTTTAGTAGTACTAAATAATTTTTTAACATACTTTTACAATTTAAGTGCTATGACAAATTTAGGGTTTATCGATTTCATTAATATATTTGCATTAGAAACCGAAAAAATATCATTCTATTTGTTTAGTATTTCCTTTAATACATCAACTATACATGGAAAAAGTTCAATAAAATAATTGATTATTGTATTTTTTTCAACCCATTGGGTAACATAAATTTAACATAATTTCTCCAGTGATTTTTCAGAAGGGTTGAGGTCATTGTAAGCAATAGCTTCCAAAAGAACATTGTTTCGTTTAGGTGGATTTTATTAGAAAAATTATCCATTTTTACCAATAATTCTGTATAGTTTCTAACATATTGAAGTTCACATGCAGATGAAATTACTAAATGTAAGAAATGTGCAACACATTAAACATAAATAATTGAAGAATTAAAAATTATATGGGTAGTAAACAACTCAACAATACCTATAGGTATTTTAATTAAGCATAATTAACTGTATCTACACATTGTAGTTATCTTATATTGTTGTTTATATAACTAAAGAATATAGGTGACACTTCCTGGATAAAATACGGATAAAACACAATTCATTATTGAGTAATTATTTATTTTATAAATGAGCAATACAAAGAGTAGTAATAATGATTAATTCATTTTTATTTCAAAAATAGATACAATAAAGAAAACAATATATTTTATAAATGAAATTGTTTGTCTTCTTAAGGCAAAAATACTAAGACGTAAAAACTTTAAATATTTTTCACAGGTATCCGACAAAGATATACCCATTATAATAATACATCATATTTTCCTTTAAATTATAATAAATGTTCCTTAAGACACATGATCATTACCTTAACACTTCGTTTTATAAATTTACAAAATAATAACCCTAGAGCAATTCTGAGGATTCTCGCGAATATTTTTAATGTGTGTGCTCTAAGGTTGAATACCTATACAAAATTATATAATATAGGTAGGTATTACATATCTGTGGTCTACTATGTAGGTACAGTATATAGCATTGAATATGTATCTACCTATATTTTTTTATTTGTTTCATACAATCTAAACAATAAACATTAAACATTATTACATTGTTATGACCAAAATATAACTCATATTACTATATTAGTCATATTATAATTATACCCGTATAGCAAGATCTACAATCAAAAATCTTAGTGTCTAAGAAGGTTAAATGATAAGCCTAAGGTAAACATTTTCTATAGTACCCTAATTTGGGTAGGTATGGAAATAGATAATAAAGTATTGGATAGGCCTTGGGACAGGCCCATAGACCTTATAGTATAAGGTCAATGGATTGATGGAAATCAAAAATTTCAACACTAACATTTATTTTAACCAATACTTCAACTTTTTATGGAATTTTTAATATAGGTTATTGTTTTAAAATCAAAAGTAGGTAGTGGTTTTACTCCCCAAAAATATGGGTGACAAAAATAACATAAATATGAAATTGTAGAGCAGCTTGTTTCTATAATGTTCTAGAAAATAAATTTCGTAAAAAGTTAATAGTTTCCAAAATAATGAATTTATCCACTTAAATGGATCACCTGGTACGTCATATAGTAAAATAATTATACATGCATTTCTATTCATATTCTTTAATATTGTACCTATTTTCCCGTTTTTGCTATGTTTTCCCATTTCTGTTTACGCTAACATTGTATCCATGGAGTAGGTTACCTACCAACTAAAAATGAAGTACAAAACTCTCAAAATTAAAATGTCTATAAACAGTTCAAAAATGGCTAAATGGCTGAATTTTAATACATCTAGAAATGGTAAATATAATAAGTATTGTATCAATAACAACAACAATTTTTTAGTTAAAAGAAACTCAAACCTGAAATTAAAAATCTAAATACAATCAAATAATATACACCTAACATTTCGTCCAACTTATGACATTTTGAGAATTTCTGTACAGTAAAAATAATAGTTCAATTATTTAGATAAAATAATTTGCCCACTAAGATAATGTTACAATACTTTAACATTATCATTTTTTCTTTTTTATTATTTAAATATCAAATGTCATTAATTAGAATTGACCTATCAATAAAAATCATTTAAATGTAATTTATTATATAGTTTTATATTAATATGGTTTCGTAAAACTATGTAAAATAGAATGAAAATTAAAATTCAGTTGTCATAAAATAATTATAACTAAATTTAGTCTAAATTTGCTCTTTTTAAATTTTATAAAATTGTAGTATTAGTAAAAAGTTAGCAAATACCAGATTATTTTTTAGTTTTTTAGGGTTCAGATTATAATTCTTAATTGTATTCAATGACAAACTAAAATCAAATTAACTTAATGAATTTCAAAGTCGTAACTTAAGTTTGAAACAATAAATAATAATACCGTATGATTAAAAACTGATTAAACATTCAATTTGAATTATAAGGATACATTTTACAACAAGAAATGCTTAAAGTCTAAAATTTCTTTTATACATTTTATTTCACTACTTTATAATCATGTATTTTTATTATATAATAATTGTTATGAGTAAGGAAACTGTCATGATATCAATGTATAACAAATTAGTATTTATTATTATTAATTTTACATTTCAACTAACTAAAATTTAAAAAAAAAGTTGTCAATATTATTAAATTTAAGTTTAGTATTGTAATAACACCTTTGTGTTAGCTATAGAAATCTTAAAAATATTAATATACAAATATACTTATAAGAATTATTTCTTCAAGCAAATAATTATTTCATAGACAATTTAAAAAATAAAACTACAGGAATATGTATATAATATAAAAAAAAAGGGACAGAATGTACAAAATAAAATTATAGAATTGAGCTTCCTGGGTAATCTAATTTTAAATTTTGTCCCTGAATAAATTTGCGAATTTGTTATTTATTTTTGAATTAAAAAATGCATGCACACTGCACACAGACATAAAGTTCAAGAGTAACAGCAGGATGATTTCTATGACAGTATTTCAACACACACTCTAATGTATACATTTTAAATGAAAAATACATTTTTAATTCAATGAAATATTTTATTTTTATTTTTATACAATATGAGGTAGCTATTATTTTCCTTGTAATTAAATGTATAACAATTTTAAAACACTTCAACATTTATATTTTATAAAATGTACAAATACCAAGTAAATTACTTCGCTTTACTGAAAACTTTATCTTGAAAAATTAAACAAATAAAATATCCCATGAGCAATAAAATACTGAAAATTATTAATTATCAAGATTGAAATGTTGACTGTAAAGAAAACATCAAAAAGAACAAAATATATATAAACCAGTTTATTATAAGATATTCATGTAAATATTGACAAAAATTAAATTAATTATAACTATAATAAGAAAATAAGAGCCATTATATTATATTACAATAACATTATTTAAAAAAATAAATAATATGATTTAATTGTGGCCAAACATTTTTCAATAATATTATTATTACAGTTTTGTGTTCAATTTGAAATAAATGAAGTCTATAAATAATATTATTCTATAAAAATGAAATGTTAATTTCTTTGCAGCTTCTGGTTATAAAACCTAACATTGATGACACTTTGTTTTGTACGTGTGTGCAATGAGTATTAAAAGAGAGTGAATTATCGAAATAAATACCTAAATTGTTATTTAGGTTGACACGAGTGAGTACAAGATCATTTAAATAATAACTGTGGAGGTATGGGGATCCCTCTTTCGTGAAAGTTATTACCTTACATTTACTGTTATTTAGATATAACTTATTTTGGTCACACCAATCACAGAGGTAGTTCAGGTCATTTTGAAGCATTGCGGGATTATTAGACGTTTTAATAATATGAAAATCTTTGAGATCATCAGCAAATAGTAGCATATATGAATTAGTAAATTGTATGTCATTTATGAATAAGTTGAATAAGAGAGGTGCTAGATGAAATCCTTGAGGGACCCCAGAGGTAACATTAAAGTGACTTGAGCAAAAAATTTTATATTTTACATATTGCTTCCTATTAGTGATAAAAGAGACAAGCCATAAAAGAAAAGGGTTACGAAAACCTAAACATTTTAATTTTACAGCTGGTGATCGATAGTGTTGAATGCTTTTGAAAATTCCGTGAAAATAACTTCCACCTGATGGCCATGATTAAATGCGTCTATGATATAATGCTGGAATGTAAGGAGATTTGTAGTCATAGATCTACATGACATGCTGTTCATTAATAATAATATTTATACAATAATAATATATTAAACAAATATTATCAAGGAAAATATATAATGCTTATTTAATTATTTTACCATCATATGACATATCTATTGTTGACAAAGCATCAATATTAACTGAACTCTGCTCAAATTTGTTTTTCATTAGCAATGGTTTATCATTGCTTACAGGTATACATTCAATTCCCTTCTGTATCCTACCTTTACAACTTCTTACCTACAGAAGTACCTACTACTTATGTTGACTAAGACATATGTTATAGATATGTTGACTAAAATATTCTAAACTTTATTTTTTTCTTTTTCTAATAATTTGTGTATTTTGGGGAGGGAGAGTAAATAACTATACTGGGTTTAACACAAATCTTTGACATGTGAAATAACTTTTTTTCTGTACAATATTTTAAAGATCTTGTAATAATGTCTCGAACCTATGATTTCTCTATTTAATATTTTGTATTAAACTTAACATTATAAATTGTTATTACAAAATTCAAGATAGCCATTTGATAATATATATATATTGAAACAAAATATTGATATTGTAGATATTTACTAATAATGAATCCTATGAATTTACTAATAAAGTTTCCATATTTTTTTAAAGTTAAATTATTAACAAAATTATTTTTA